AAAACAACCCCCCCCCCCAAATAAAGTAGATATAGTCACTGCTCAGCATCTAAAGTAATGCAGATAACACCACGGGCTATGTGATTCTTTTTGGGGGCTTTGAAATGCATTATTTTTTATTGTTTTTTGTCTTGCAGAAAAGGAGTTGCTCACATTAGTGTTTTAATTATGCTGAAAAATGATTTTCCTACCTATTTTGGAACCATCTTCTTTGACCCTCCAAATGCCCAATTAGCGTCAGAAGAAATTCAAATCCAATGCAATTTATATAGGCAAGTGAGTTGTTCTCGTTTTTAAAAATCAGCAGCAAGTTATACAAGGGGGACCCCCAAAACCCCCTGAATTAATTTAAAAATTGTATATTTATTCTTACATGTTTAAGCTGCAGTCACCTTCATACTCTCCGCTGGATGCAATATACCTATTGAGAGGCTTTGTCCATTACTCAGAACAGTTTCTGAGCTTGTCAATTTTGATGCCTTTTAGTGCTTCTATCATTTTTTGTTGTGTCTCTTCTACATCTGCAAAACGTTTCCCTTTGAGGATTTTTTTCATCCGGGGAAACAAAAAAAAGTCACTCTGGGTGAGACTGGGTGAATAGGGAGGGTGGGTCACAGGGGTCATACCATTTTCATCAAATACTGCCGAACGGGTCAGGCTTGGTGGCTCAGCCTATAATCCCAGTACTTTGGGAGGCTGAGGTGAGTGGATTGCCTGAGTCCGCGGGTTCGAGACCAGCCTGGGCAATGTGGCAAGACTTCGTCTCTACAATAAATCAAAAATCAGCATGTGGTAGTGCATGCCTGTAGTTCTGGCTACTTGGAAGGCTGAGGCGGAAGGATGGCCGGAGCCTAGCAGGTCGAGGCTGCAGTGGCCATGAGTGTGCCATGGCACTCTAGCCTGGGCGACAGAGTGAGACTCCAGCTCAAAAATCCCCCCCCAAACCAAAAAAACCTTCTGAATACTCAGCATGGTGTGTGTACTCATAAATCACCCATCACGAAATGGGCAAATACATTCAAAGAATCTCCAAAAAAAATTCACTGAAGCCAAGCGCAGCCTCTCACAACAACGCTAGCTGGTCCACTGATGCCAGTGGGTTCCTAGAACACTTACTGTGAGGAAGCCTGCACTACAAGGGGCCCGCCCTCCAAAAGATAATTCCGTTTTTTGGGGGAGTTCGCCCTCATAAGCCGGTAAGTACAACGATCCCAAAAAGGCACTGGTTACATAATTATTTCTCTACGAAGATTTGTCTAGCAAAGTAGAACTGAAGCCAGCATAAAGATGTGAAGACTTTCTTTGTTCACACAGTAACTGCATGATTGGGGAAACAGCAATAGTCAGGCACTTCACAGATAGAATCAATAATTCTTATGTTAATTCACATGAGAAAATAAAATTTTAAAAATACAGATACCTTGCTCAACTTAACTAAGTTGTATCCTGTCTTTATCAGTCAACAGTTAACAAAAGGATGACTTTTAAAATGCTCTTTGCGTAAGAATGAGCTAATAACTAAAATATTTGTGAGAAATGCTTCACATTTTTCCTAGAAGAATGATCTGAATGGTATAAATTAGTCAAGATAAAAAAACCCCAAAAGGTTTTTCTTATTCTAAAATGTTTCTGTCACTTAACGCCGGTTGTCTATGGGTTAACTCACGGTTTTCTGATGCGTAGCAAATAATTACTTTAGGCCTTCAAATAGGTAGCTCTCTCTGAAGGGAGCTCCTGGATTCTTGCTTTCTTTTTTTTTTTCTTTTTGGGTTGGAGTCTCACTCTGTCACCCAGACTGGAGTGCAGTGGCCACTCCCGGCCACTGCAACCTCGACCTGCTGGGCTCCAGTGATCCTTCCGCTTCAACCTTCCAAGTAGCTGGAACTACAGGCACGCGCTATCACACCTGGCTAGTTTTTGATTTATTGTAGAGATGAGGTCTCGCCAAGTTGCCCAGGCGGGTCTCGAACCCACGGGCTCAGGCAATTCACTCACCTCAGCCTCCCAAAGCACGGGATTACAGGCTGAGCCACCGAGCCTGGCTATTCTTTCTTTTTTTTATGAGTTAGAGTCTCACTCTGTTGCCCAGGCTGGAGTGCCATGGCACACTCACGGCCACCCCAGTGTCGACCTGCTGTGCTATGGTGATCCTTCCACCTCAGTCTTCCAAGTAGCTGGAACTACAGGCGTGCGCTATCACGCCTGGTTAATTTTTGATTTATTGTAGACGTGAGGTCTTGCCAAGTTGCCCAGACAGGTCTTTAACCCACAAGTTCAGGCAATCCACCCACCCTGACCTCCCAAAATGCTGGGATTACAGGCTGAGCCACTGAACCCAGCCAGCCACTTGCTTTCTTAGAACCTGAGGTTCAAGTCTGAGTCCAGAGCAGAATTGCTGCCTTTGGCTCAGCTACTTACTGCCAGGATTATTTTGACAAGTGCCTCCTGCTTCCTTCTTTCCACAGGGACTGAGTTTGGGGCCC